TCTCTCTCTCTCACTCACAGTAAACATCGATTATTTCCCTAAACAGCATTAACCGGTTGGGCTTTGTAGCTGAGACGTAATGTGCTTCCTGTGAGGTACGGATTGAACTCTGCATTCTGCATACACAGTGTATTTATGCGTTCCGTATGGTTGTCACAATAAACAGGGATTATTTTCTTAAACAACATTAACCGGTTGGGCTTTGTAACGGAGACGTGATGTTTCATGTGAGGTACAAACTGCATTTTTATATGCTGTTTAGAAGAAATTTAGTCTTGTCCGTGTGGATGCGAGGTCGAATACCTCCACCATATCCCTGCGAAACGTGGGAGGTGAAGAAAAGGGAACTCACTGCCTGGGGTTATAGCTGGACCACCCTGTTCCTAAGGGATATAAATAAGGGGACCTGGCCCTACAGGTTGGGGGAGTCTCGAGTCTGAGGCAGTAAAATTTTGTCCATTAGATCCGCAGGACTCAGACCCTAGAATGACTGTTCCGGCGATGGGCAGCAACAATTGTAAACAAAATCCCCCATCTTCCCATCAGAGAGGATGTTGCATAAGTGTTTAGTTGAAAACATACTGGTCGTGGGTATCAAGGGGCTTCTCGCCAAGACGAACTGATTGACGGTAAACCGTCAGTCTTAATGTAACTGCGATTCTGTCTCAGTCTGTAAATGGTTACTGTGCCTGCGATATACGAACCCCGAACTTGGATCGAAGAATTTTATTGCTCTTCCAAGCGTAGAGACGGAGCCAGGCTCACTGCGAAAGTAGATGAGAGCTTGCAAGTTTATCACAAGACAGTATGTGACTACCGGTCAGTGGTGTGTAGAGGCACACAGCTCTGACGTCACTCTCCGACAATGCTGCGTCGAGGTGACCAGAACTGAGGCCTCATACGAGAAGAAATCAGAACTAGCTTATTTTTGGATCTTAAAAATGAATTGGACGAACTTACATTTAGTGTTTTGAATCATGGACGAGAGATAGAGGAGGTGGTGAGGGGGGGGGTAATGTGAAGTACGACATCACAGGTTGATGGAGGGGGACAGCAATACAATATCTAGCTTTGATGGTAAAGATAGGCTGGATAGAAAGTAAAGTGTTGAGAATTTGGTATGTTTAGATTATGAGCGGTGGAGAGAAGGGGCACACGGTACAGTAGTTGGTTGAGGCACAAGCCGGAAGGTCGCGGGTTCGATTCTCAATGAGGTCATTGAACTTTTCAGTTGACCTAATCCTTCCAGCCGCACTATGGCCCTAGGTTCGACTCAGCCTCTAACAAAAAAAATGGCAGGAATCTTCCTCAGGGTAAAGGCTGACAATCTCACCGACATCTGTGAGCCGATTATAAAGAAAATGAAGGAGGCTTGACGTCTCACAACCCTATGGGCCTCTGAGGCAATTAAGCAGGATATGAATTATGAATTTTATGGAATTGTTCGATTCATAACTTACAGAATACTTATGATAAAATATAAAGATAAACCGCTGTGTCTTATTTAGGGCAGTGATGCTCCACTGGTGGGAAGCGTCCCATTGGTGGAACTTGACGGGACGTCATGTCTCAAAAATAATCGTAAATTTAGTCACACGGAAACTCCCTCGATAATGCCACTCATTCATCAGTAATCTGTCAGACGACAGGTCCACAGTCTCTTCCAAAACGGTTCCTCCACTTAATGCGATCTAGAGCTTTCTCCTTCAAATGACAATATCCTCTTCTGTCCCCAAGGTCATTCAGCATCTTCTTACGTCTTCTTCCTTGTCTTCTGGTCACTTCTATCCGTCCGTCTATCTTTCCTTCAATAACAAGGCAGTTAACTGCGTAACATAATGCCACTGGCTGTACTACATTCGACAGCTAAAACACTGAAATCTAAGGCTCGAATTCCAATCAGGACATGTACATAAGTCCATATTTTTTGTCTTTATTTTCCTTTGTAGATAGGGCTTTGGGATGGGCTGATCCCTCGTCCAGGGAGTACTGCCAGTTGTCTGTAAGACCCAGACTTTAGAAATTAATTGCGAATTGGAAGAGAACGGGGAAGAGGGAAGTATGTGTGTATGTATGTGTGTATATATATATATATAAAGGCTGATAAATAAGTAAAACTTCCTGAATTGTACTGGAACACCTGTACCGTCCTATTACGTAAATCTCCGCAGACAGGCGTCTATTATGCTCCTATAGCAGAGGTTGCTACTAACAGATTGTTTTTGTTTGGGCTATACGCGATACCATAGGGCAATTGGCTTGTTCAGTCCAACCGTGTTGTTTCGAGGAATTCTCTGATGTTCTGATCTGTGTACAGTGATACTAGTGAATTATAATGGATCTTTGATCGCCGATTCTAGTTTATTATTGTTACCAGTTCCATCGGTTTGTTTCTCTTGAGCAACTGAACTTGGACACTCGCATAAGAAACGATTAATTGTATTTATGGTGTTTAAAAACATCAAAAATTTGCCCTTTAAACAAACCATTCCTTTAATGTCAGATCAACCAAACAAGATGAGCTCAGTGTAACAGTGTCTCATTGTCCTTTAATTTTAACAGCAGCTACATTTCCATGCCTTGAAGTTGTGCAATGTTCAGGGTCGAGACGCAGTTCTGGCCGTGAAATATACATCTCAAGTTCCCCATTTTCATTGGTTCGACCAAACATTTACTTCACATCCCACGCCTCTGCTCAGCCTGTTGTCTTGGGTCTATAAGCCAGTCACATCCTAGTCTTACTCACTTCGACACTGAAGATGGCAACACAAGTTTCAGCCGAATCTTTAGTGTCCACCTACGAGGCTACATGGTGTCAGAACTCGGAAGACAGTCTCAACTCTCATCGACTTGAAAACGTCCATTCCGGTTAGTACATAAACAGTTGTCTCGAAATCTATGTAAATAAAAATGTAAATGTTCGTTTGTCTCTACTCGAAGATCTCCGAAAGTTCTTCACCGATTGCTTTGAAATTTTGACACAACGTTGCATTCGAACACGCGCATGTTTTTATATACCTATTATATAGATGTGACGCCCGTGACAGGTAAAAACAGGTAAAAAACGTGTTATACGTCGTCCATCGAATACAAACAGATCGTTGCCTGGGAATAACCTGGCAACGGACTGTTGAAACAGCGGATCGTTGCCTAGGAACGTAAATGTGTTTTTATATGCCTATTATGTAGATGTCACACCCTTGACAGGTAAAAACAGGTAAAAGTATTAATTGTATTCAATATTAATATACTGTAACGTGTTATACGTCGTCCATCGAATACCACCGTGGCAACGAACTGTTGAAACAGCGGTCGTTGCCTAGGAATAACCGTGGCAACGAACATTCTCAGGTGCAAATCCTACGGGGACCATATTTACTACCTCAGATTCGAAACTCCCCCAACCTGGAGGGCCAGGCACACTTATTTATATCCCCCAGGAACAGGGTGTCTCGGTTATATCCCCAGGTACTAGGTTCTTTTTTCGCCGCCTTCTACGACTCGTAGGGCCACGGTGGAAGTTCTCGTCGGCCCCGTCTCTACACGGAAGTGTGTCGGCATAATATTTTGAAGGTCTAATATATACAAATTTATTCCATACTTTACAGGAAACATATTACGTCACCATAACAACGAGAAACCAGTTATTACACTTCAGGGAAATAATCGCTGTTTATTGTGAGAACCATACGGAATACACAAATACACTGTGTGGGCAGAATGCAGAGTTCAGTTCGTACCTCACAGGAAACACATCACGTCTCCACTACAGAGCCCAACCGGTTAATGCTCTTTAGGGAAAATAATCGCTGTTTATTGTGAGAACCATACGGAACACATAAATACACTGTGTGGGCAGAATGCAGAGTTCATTTCGTACCTCACAGGAAACACATCACGTCTCCACTACAGAGCCCAACCGGTTAATGCTGTTTAGGGAAATAATCGCTGTTTACTGTGAGAACCATACGGAACACATAAATACACTGCGTGGGCAGAATGCAGAGTTCAGTTCGTACCTCACAGGAAACACATTACGTCTCCGCTACAAAGACCAACCGGTTAAAGCTGCTAAGGAAATAATGGCTGTTTATTGTGAGAACCATACGGAACACACAAATACACTCTGTGTGGGCAGAATGCAGAGTTTTTTTATGTTAAAGCTTGTGCTAAATAATGTTCCATTGTGTTTTAGGGGTTAAATTTGGTATCAGTTTTTTATTGCGAATTGTGCTTCGGGTTTTACTATGCAGGTTGCGCGCTGTACCCCTATGTAACGTACGAGGGAGCAGTCCGAGAGACACTTGTGATCCACAGATGCTTAATTCTTTTATATTATCGGTAACGTCTAACGTTATGGATGTGAAACTTGATTGCTCTCATATAAGCGAGCAACAGGTTGCCATGAAGCACGCTTGGATCCAAGCGTAGGAATTAAGACGAAGTCCCAGAATAATACGTAATAAGATCCCTCATAATTTGCACTCCCCCCCAGATGTTACTAGCATGATAAAATCACGGGAAATGAGATAGGCACTCCATGTAACACTCATGAGAAAATTCAGACCTGCGTACAAAAATATTAGTCAAATACGTCTCATTGAAGACTACGTTTAGACTGCATAATAATAATAATAATAAACGAACCTTAAGGATAAGCGCAAGGATGTAGATCGGATTAATCTGGCTCAAGATAGGGAAAAGTGGTGGAATCTTATGAACACCTTAATGAACCCTCGGGTTAAGCACAAGGCATGGATATTCTTACTGAGCGACTATAAAGTTTTGTAGAAGGGCTCAGTTTCATAGTGTTACATGGGCAGAATTGCAGTTCACGTGGGGGTTGCCACTGTCTGGTTGCTGTCTACGTGTTGCAGTCCCAACGCAGATTTACGACAGTAGCATGAAGGCTTTATCGCCAGCTGAACCCTATATCTTATCCGCACCGTCACGTGGAGGCCGTTGTCGCTATAAACAGCGTCAAGCCCTTCACTGTGTTTGCATGTCCGTGGGAGAACAGAAAATATGGGCCAGGCCACAAAACGCATCTGTTTGAGCTCACCCACCTGCCAAATGTGAACTGGGTTCTCTGCCCGCGCGCATGCAATGGACTCTGCATGAATCTGACCACCCACCACTGTGACCAAGCGTTACCATATCAACCACCTGCTTTACATGCAATAACATTGCATTTTGTCTGCATGTTGTATCTATGCGTTCCGTATGGCTCTCACAATAAACAGCGATTATTTCCCTAAACAGCATTAACCGGTTGGGCTTTGTAGCGGAGACGTAATGTGTTTCCTGTGAGGTACGGGCTGAACTCTGCATTCTGCCCACACAGTGTATTTATGTGTTCC